CCCCCCCCCCCCCCCCCCCCCCCCCCCCCCCCAACCTCGAAACGTGCTCCACTCTTTAGTCTAGAACTTGTTTTAGAACAAAAGCACTATATGTTCCCATAACTGACATCATTCGCATAACACCATTCTTCATTACTGAAATTCGCGTTTGGAAACTTAAACATAAACATAGATTCACATGTGCTGCGTTTTCTGCCCTAACATCATAAGCTGAAGAAAGATTAATACACAAGAGTTGCAACTACTCTACGGTAACGTGCTAACGAGGGGAGCAGAACGATGGTTCTTCTTCACATTGAGGCTTGATAATTGCTCCTGTAAGTCAAAAAGATGACTCGCATGGCGGCAGATTCTCCAGCTTGACCTTCCAACCGTAAGCTGGGGATGAATCTCGTAGCGGTGCACTGTGCCACTTCTTTCCGTACAGTTCACACACGAGTGCTTCCGTATTTTGAATTTAAAGTTCTCATTGGATACTAATCGGCACTCTTTCCCGCGATACTCGACATAACTCGGACCTACCCTCCATTGGTTGAAGAAGCTGAACTGCTTTCCACTTACCTTTACCAAAGAAGCCAGAGATGTTATCACAGCCTGTGATAGAGTTTACACCTATAAGGGCACCTCATGAAGCAGTGGTTAACATCGCCTGGGTCGAGTTGCATATAATGTTCGCGCCTCTTCCTTTTTTCATGTAGCACCTTTTCAAAGTCAAGTTTTTGCTATAAGCAAGCATTAGGACAAAGACATCAGTCTCAGTGTCAATGTATTAGAGTGCATCACACTGTCATTCCTACGTGCATGCCGAGCATGGAGAACAATACGCGTTTCAGCCTCCTCGTCACAGAACTGTACCTCAGGATCAGGGTCTCTGATCACTATGTGTCTGCTTCTAGTCGCCCAACTGGTGTTCGGTTGTCACACAGGGAGTCCATGATCCAGTTGCCGAGTCTGCTTCTAAATGCTTCGGTTTTGCCCTGTGGCACAAGGAATTTGACGATTTCAGCTTATTTGTGTTGGCACTTAGCAGCTCGTTCCATGACTTCACAGCATAGTGCATCGCAGTAAATCCCTATATTATACACTGTCAGCGGTAGACGTTATTCTCAGTCTTTTGACATTTTTGATCAACACCTCGCGCTACACGTCAACCACTACGTTTACGTGCGTGCTTCGTGAAGTTAGTTGCTATAAGCAACCACATGGAACGTAGCTCCAGAGGAGATCTACAACTTCTGTAGCCTGCCGTTTCATCGAAACTGCCGGTTATGTTCTCGACTTCCCGGAACTGTCCCAGAAGTGCCATCCAAGCACAAGAGGAAGTACGTACTAGATCCTTGTTGCGAACCTTATGCACAGCCTTCATCTTCGTTGGTTTTCTTCACTGGATCAAAGAAAGCGGCTCATTACAAAGTCATTCGCTGGCTGCTTTCTCTTGCCGTGGAGGGCAGTCAGTCATCACTCACTTCTGTGTGGACAAGCTTACCGAGTCGCATTTCTCTCTCGTTGGTGAACTTACTTCGGCCATTACATTGATTTTGAT